AAAAATTATGGTTTATATTAAATTTTGGTTTTTGTAACAACTAAATTTCAGTTAATCTTATAAGGGATGGTGTGGCTTTGCCCCCACGTGTTATTTTACACTTTGGTTTTGTAGGACTCTAACTATTCAATCCTAGTTACGCCCATATCTATTCTGATACTAAAGGAGAGTATCATTTTTTAGAAATACATTTTAATGAAGGAAGACATTTCGGAAGGATGGGTTGTGACTTGTGATCCTACTCTGTGTGCGCCAAAATGTGTACTTGTAACTTGTATATTATTATATACTTAAACTATTTAAGTCTCTTTAACAGTTTTACGCGATTCTGAGTAGAAATCTGAAACAGAAAACTGATTAGTTTTTAGCAATCTACCTATGCTAATCAGTAATCAGTACCTAATCACTACATAGCACTGATTGCTATTACAGTATTGCCTAATACCTAAAGGCTATAGGTGAAACATAAATTTTTAAAAAAAAGTACCTACAAGTTCTAGTTTGTTAACAATTATTATTAGCCCTTACTAGAGATAGGATGTTGATGACTTTTGTATTATTTTTCCTTTGATCCTATATAAATGCTATCTTAGTTAAAAATTCGTTTCATATTCTCTTGATTAAAAATATTATACTAATTTTTTCGAATTTTTAGGCATTTTTAGCTATAAATGCATTGTTTTTAATACTTTTAGGTGATTTTTATGTAGTTTTTGTATAAATGTACAACGTGGGGCAATTTTATAAAATTTTAGATTTGAAAGAAAATTTGTTCAAAAATATAAGTGTATTATTATTAAGTATATTGGTGGGTTTTTGCTGTAACTAAATTTATCGCTATACAGGTTTTATTTATATTTTACTTTTTAATTTGTTTTTAATAATTTCATACATTTTTTGTACTGAAAATTAAACTTAAAATTTAAATGTTAACTAAATTTTGCTTACGAACATTTTTTAGGTCATTTTTATATTAATTAGGGCATTAAAGTATTTGTTTTGGTTATTTTTGATACTTTTTTAGGTCATCAACATCCTATCACTAGCTACTGACTGTGTGTCAGTGTAGTTTGTACATCTCAGTACAAGTATACAGCATAGAGACATACTGCTATAAGTGCTAATTATTAAGAACTACAAACGAATAAGATACTTGCATGTAAGTTGTAATCTATTATGCATTTATGCATGTATTATGTACCTTTTATAATTTTATATCACTACATTTTAGTATTTTACAATATAACTTTAGCCTTTAGTATTTGAATAATTAATTGCGTTAGTACTTACCTGTTTACTGAGCACAATTGAATCGAAGTTTAAATTTAAAATTAGGTACCTACGTGGCTACGTTTATCAGGCTATATTATATAGGTACTAACGGTATTTGAAACTCATTGATCATTGTGGTAATTTATGTTTACAACGCATATTAGAAGTATTACCATAAATACTATATATATATATATTAATATTACTAGTATTTTTAATCAAGGGTATAACGAATTTACGACGGAGGTGAGCCTGTATTGAAATGTAATTGTTTTAATGTTTCAATTTACATTAAATTTATGAACAATAACCACGCATAATATTATTATGCAGATTACCTAAATACACGAGACTGAATTTCATTGTATTAAAAAATATATATAAATAGCATATTGCATATTTTGCAATTCTAAATAAATTAATAGATAATAGTCAATAGGTACCAATATATAATTAATAGTTAGAAGGTGTGTAGAATACTTATATGTGCAGTTATTTTTATGTTAGATGTTAATTATTTTGTATGTTGGTAAAATTTAAAGAAAAATAACGATTATAATTTATAATTACCTGTACGGATAATAATACATATATATACCTACAAACTAATATAAATTAAAAATATAATAGGTAAGCACGTAGTCAGTCGCAATTCTAAAAATGTTTTTATCTATATTATGTATAGATGGTTTTCTTTTTGATGTTCTAAAAGTAATTTTGAACCATTAATAATTATACCTATATACCCAGTGGCCTATCCAGAATTTATTTTAAGGAAGGCTTATTATTCATTTTTGACGAATTTAATCTGAAAATAATTTATGGGGGGGGGCGTGTTACAAATTACCCTTCTGGATACGCCTTTGGGCTTTGTCTAGCTATATGTACTAGGTAGTACATCGTACATGTTATCATAGAACAATTATAGTATTATACTATTATAGTATACTTGTAAACTGTATAGGTACCTATATAAACCTACTTAATATAATAGGTATGTAATACATGTGTATAATTTAGCCATAATATACAATACCAATAGGTACTATATAAGTACCTACAATTACTTACTATATAGTTAGTATTTAATAAGAGGTAGGTGTCTATATAAATATAACTAGCTGATCTCACGCACTTCTTGGCCCGTAAAAAATGACGACTCTTAAAAAAATTGTGATTGTTCAGCACCTTTTGCAGTGTACGTGCAGTAAGTGCAGCTTAGTCACCCTAGATGGTAGGCAATGTGCGAAAATTTGATTTGATGCATGCTTCTACCTGATCTGCCCGATTAATCAATGGCAACCAATAAAAAATAAATACTATTTCTATTAATTATTTCTCCTATTAATCCTATAACCAATAGCATCCATTTATAAACAAACATTTCCATCGTAAATCTCAAAATCCCTATTTGGGCACCTCTCCGGGCTATTGGTCGTAGCATGATGTTATTTTAATATAATTTTTTTTTTCTTAATATGTTTTACAAAAAAAAAAAAAATTTCAAAATATTTCTTTAAATATAATTATAGATATTGTATTGTATTTTAATAGTCTAAGCAATTAAGCAATAATTTATGAGGGTATAAGCAATTTGGACATACATTTAGATTTCAATGTTACCTAATAATACACTAATACAGTACTATAATTACCTATTGCAAAGGATTTTGCAAAATATTGTGATAACTGATAATACTTGTCTTAAACATTAGGTAATTATTATATTTTAGATTCTGAGTGAAACGATGAATGTATTGATTTTACAATGATGTGTTTTTTTTTGTTTTTTAAATTTTTTTCTTGTGTCTGTCATCACGGTTTAGGGCAGTAAAACTGCTTCGATTTTTTCAACAGTATCTTGTTCGATGGGAAAGTGAATCTAGTTGGTGTATTCGGGAGGTCAAATTTTAAATTTCCTAATAGTTTTCAAAAGCGACGGAAAAAACAACATAAAAATTAAGGAAAAACGGGAATTCTTAAGTAAAATTGGTTTTCCACAAAATCGTAAGATAAAAAAATAAATTCATAATCAATTAATTGTTAAAGGATGTTTGGGGAAATTGTCTGCATTAAAAAAATATATGAGGGAGTACTAGGGAGTACTAGTATGTTCTACTGCTACAGTATACACTGAAAATAGTTTGGCGAAATTATCCCACATTGGCCACATTCGAACAAATTGCAAAGCATATTGGAGGAGATTATAGTCATTAATTAATTCCATATAGGTACCTAGTTTCAGAATTTATTCCTAATTCCTATAGGTGCAAGCAAAATGGTCCATGATGATTGTGAGGTGATAAGCCACTAAGCCATTAAAGTGTTGAAGTTGTACTTCTTCTATATTTTAGACGTTTTATTGTGGTATGAATACAAAAATTGTTACCTACAATCTACATCTTAGTTGTTGGTACCTACCTATCTTACAACTTACAAAAGAGTTAGTACTGAGTAGGTACTCAATGGCCAATACCCATAGACTATTATAGTCCCATACTATATTCCCCGTAAGTTTACCGATTTTTTTTTTGCGCAAGCAGAGTATCGTGAAAACGTTGTGACAATACAGTTCACCGTAGTTCTATACAGTTTCACGTCACAAGACACCACGGTGTAGGTATACGTACTACTTATAGTGACTAGTGTATTGTCACAATGTTTTCACCATAAACTGCGTGTGCAAAAAAAAAAGTGGGTAGGTAAACACTAAACAGTAAACTTACGGGGAATAGAGTATGAGTATAGTAACCAGCTACAACCTGCAGGATAGGTACATTTATTTTTTTTATAGGTACCTAGGTCGCGCTAGGCATAATGTTTATAGATTAGAAAATAGAAACACAAATGTGAAATTAATAATATTAATTATATACCTATTACAATATTACCTATAGTCACGATTAAAGATTATATCTATACAATTATTATAGGTTAATAGTACTTATAATCATAGACATATGATTATATGAATAATAAATATTTATTTATATGTCTATGGTTATTATATTATTATTGTCTCAACGGTTTTATTTAGATTTTTCATACTTGGCTGGTTTTTTCAAACTTGCAACTTGCCTTATCAATGCGGGGGTGTCAAACAGGTCACAGCCCACAGGACATCAATTCAATAATTTATTTGATGAATTACACAATCAGTCATTTTTTTACCACTGATAATTTGTATGAATTGATCATAGATAATAAAGTCTTTATTATCTATGGAATTAATATTTGAATTTGATGTTATCATTACGTTTTATACTTTTATATATCAGCTAAACAGAAAAATCGTTATTCATTATTTTTCACTCATTCGTCATTATTGTGTATTAACTTTAAGAATTAGAGAAATTACTGTACAATGGCGACTAACGCCAATGTCGTCAATAATAATTGCCGAACAATTACAATTTATGATGTAGTTATACCTGTTACATTATATTATCACTTTCAGCTGAGATTGTTGAGATCTGTATGCAATGATGTAAAGCCAAAATATTGATGACTACAACTGACTACTGTTGAGGATTGCTGACTGGTTGTATGTGAGGTAAATCTTCAGTTAAATTATTTTATTATGTAATACATGAGATTATATTTTTAATTTTTTTTTTTAATTACGCAATCACAATATTTAATTGGGTGTTTACCATAAGTTTACTAATCATTGTAGTTGTAATTTTTTTATCCAGTCAGTACTACTTTCATACACCACTAACTGCAAAATGGTTGACAAATTGGACAAATACATTGACAGTTACTCTAAAGAATGGTACCAGGCGTTTTTGCTATTGATGATGGCCGGTACACCAGGAATATTTAACGCTATACAGATCTCATCGTACGTGTTCCTAGTTGACAAACCTTCATACTGGTGTGATATACCAGTTTTGAAAGCGGCAGGGTGGAGTGACCAAATGCTCTTAAATGTTTCTACACCGTAAGATATATTCAAACCAATAATAATACCTACTAATTATTAATAATAAGGGGGCTCCAATCGGTCTTGTTTTAAGGAAATTAATATAGGCAATTTAACTCGATGACATTAAAAATACTTGTAAGTGTGTGCAAAGTAAACATACATAAGTATGCGTGAGTTTAATTTTCAGTCAATATTTTCTAGAAATGTCCTGAATTATAACAGTAGACCTGCATAATACCGCCTGGTAGGTTGGTCTTTATTTATATTCACCGTAAATTAACTTACGTATGCGCAAGCTAGCGTATGGACTTACGTATGGACTGGCTGGGATGCTACAGCATCCCTTGCCCTAAAAACATTTGCTTAATATTATTTATTTTATATTTAAAGACTAGTTATCTAAAACCTAATGCACAGCAGATCATTATTACCAATTTACAATTTTTAGTTATCTATAATACTGTAAAATTTTGATTAAAGTTTGTTGTAACTTGTTACTTATTTATGTTGTAACATATATTCAATATTTAATATTTTTTCAAAACAAAATAAAATATATTAATATTTTATAAATTATCTACATGTTTTAAATTTTCCCCAATAATTTTTGTTATTTGCCCTTTAAATTGTGTAACATCTCTTGCCCTTTTTTACCAGTCCGCGCCTGTGCGCAGGCATTGGAATGTTATTGAATCAGATAAACTTTTTTCAATTAAAAAAAAAGTGGTGTTTAGAGCAAAAAGCTAGATAAAACTAAAGGAATTTGGTTTACGGATTTACATTTTTAAAACTGATTTTCATTTATTACCAAGTTTACTATGCTTCGGTCGAGGCGATATCTAAAATCTATTTTTTCAGCTGTGATATCCATGAATAAAAAAAATTATATATTTGTATTAATATTATTCATTATGACACAACAATAAATTAAATATTAAAAAACACCTTTGGTCAAACCTTTTAAACTTGTTAATCAATAATAATCCGTTTTCAAAATTAAAACCGTCAAACCAAATTTCTCCAGTTTTGTTTGGCTATTTTGTCTAAAAGTCACTTTTTTCATCGACAATAATTTTGAACATGCGTTATACCATTGATGGCTCAGTCCAACAGAAAGCTGTCTGCCTGCCCGGGCGCTGTAAAATAATACAACCGACCGCTGCCTGTCGCGGTCAGTGTACCCGTACACCATGGCAGCCCGCTCTCTGTTTGACTGAGCCTTAAAGTGATCACTCAAAGGTGTAAAGTAGGGATCGGCTTTCACAACTTTTAAGGTTTTTCTATAAAAGTTATTAATATGTAATAATAGCAATGTTAGTAACTTTTATATTACAATTTGTTATTGCAGTACCTAACTATAGTGAAGTTAAGGTTAAAGCTTATATTTAAATTTTATAACATCCCTAAATTGGAAATTAATGTTTTCAGATAAATATTAAATTATCTACCTAATTGATATCAAATATATGAATAATTATACTTTTAGGTATCAAAATTATTCATCAAAAAAACTTGAAGAATGTTCTTATTACAATCAAAATTATTCAATATTTGCCAAAAATGGTTACAATTGGTCAATAAATAATTTAGAAACTGCCAATTCAAAACCTTGTCAATATTATAGTTACAGTAACACAGACACTGTTGTAACTGAAGTATGTAAACATATTTTCAAAATTAATACTAATTTCTTTACATACAATTTTTTGTTTTATTAAAATTTGTAAATAAAATGTTTTAGTGGAATTTAGTTTGTGAAAATGTAGCAATGAAGTCAAATATTCAAGCAGTTATGGCTTTTGGAAAGTTTGTTGGTGGACTTTTATTTGGTTCAATATCAGATGTATATGGCAGGAAGTTTGCTTTTAATTTGGCAGCTTTTATTTACATGTTTTCAGGACCATCTGCTGCCCTGATTGATTCTTATGTATTATTTTTAATTGCAAGATTCTTGATAGGTGTAGCTGGATCTGGAATTTATGAATCATCATATACAATATGTAATAAAAAAGAAACTTAATATATATTATAAATTAACGTTTGTTAAAAATCCAAAGACAATATTAAAAATAATAATACTTTATGTTAATTCTAGTGACTGAGCTGACAAGTGGTAAAACTCGTACTTTACTTTGTCTTTTGATGAATATGTCGTATCCAATAGGTTATATTTTGTTATCAATTATTGCTTATTATGTACGACCATGGAGAATGTTGCTTTTAGTTTTGTCTTTGCCCATGTTTGGATTGTTGATACAATGCTGGTAAGTTGTATAGTTTAAAATTACATTTTATACATTTATATAGTTGTATAGAAGCACATATATATTAGATTTTATACTAGAATATTTATTGTTAAGGTTTTTACCAGAATCTCCAAAATGGTTGATGTCTCAAGGTAGAGAAAGCCAGGCTTGGGAAGTGATGACTAAGCTTGTTCCTTCTGCTATTCATGCTGACATAGATAATGATAACCAGGATATGGTTGAAATTAGAAAGGTTTGTCAATTACAATTTTTTATTAATGATCAATCACATTAATTATTACTAGGGCTCGAAAGTTGATGACTTTAAAATAGTTAAAAGAATACCTAAAAAAAATGCAAATATGACATAAGAACTACAACAATGTACAAATAATGGTTTAAAATAAAGAAAAATACATTTTTCTTTTAAATCTATAAAATACAAATTATAAAAGCTTACAAATTACTCAAAATTATTGTATTTTACTATTAGAGCATATTTAATAAATTAAATGAACGATGATTATCGGATAATAAATATCTATATTTAGAAAAATGTATCTCCACTTCCACTGGAGCAAATTTTAAATGAGCTAAATCATCAGCACTGAAGTCATTAAGAAAACACTCACTTACAGCTAAGCATCTTTAATATATTTGGAAATTAGTAAGAATGTTGAAAAATTACGGATAACGTAAAAAGTGAGAAAATACAAAGTAAAAATTAGATATTTAGATTTGCATGCTATTGAAACACATTTTCAGCTAATAAAGCATCATCTTAGAAGTTCAAAAAAAAAAAGCAGCATCAACTTCCGAGTTAAGGATGTAATTATTACATATTATGTACAATATTTAGTTTATCTTTTGATACATTTTATGTAAGATGTTTAATGACCTCTTTTATTATAACAAGTATTTTGTTTTAATAAAGTAGTCAAAAAAGAGTCAAGGGAAATTTAATGAGTTTTTGTCCACTTTTACTACATTGTTTTCTACTTGGGATTTATCTGTCAAGACGGGTATTTCTTTTTCTTGTGGATTCGTTTGTGGCCTATCATATTACGTTATTGGTAAGTTGGAAATTTTCTTAAACGTTCTTAGTCTTACCTATAGGCTAATATTGTATAACATAAAATTATTGACAAACAATTATGATAAATTTGTTTTGTTTGCTTGTATACAAAAATGTACTCACTTTATTTAAACAACTATTTAGAATGCTGTCTCATAAATTCTGTCATTTTGTTGGATTAATTGCTTGCATAGTTATTAGTTATAAATTAATTATAACATTTCTTTTGGTTTTTTCACTAATCATTCATTTGGTTAGTTTGGTATCTTATGAGTTATGATGTATTATAATATTTAAATATAGTTAATATTAATTGATATCACTTACCTTGTGTAGTCTTTGCTCTAAGAATGATGTTTGATTCTTTTTTATTCAGAGTCGAGTATTAAGATGTCCTGTTATAGTATACTACACATAAATACATAATGAATAAAAAAAAAAAATATTTTACTGATACTTTTGTTTTTGTATGTGACATTTAATTGTCAAATGTATATAAAAAAAATTTAACCACTTTTAGTTATTTATTTGCATTACCTTCAGCTGAAGCAATGTTATTGATATTCAATACTGCATGTCTTATGATTTAGTTCCAATTTTACATTAAAAGTGTAGAATGTTCATGTTTATTATGGTTTGAATTTTCTATTGGTTTCTGTCTTTATATTATTTAATTATTGTAGGTATTACTAAGAATGATCAAGAACAACCAAACTCAAATGGATATTATTTAGTTTTAAAAATTAGGATTCTTCCTTGAAATAATAAGTGATCCAAGATAGAAAATGGGTTACCTATTGCTAAGTTCTCAAGTTCTTTAGATAGTTGCTTTGGAAAAATTTATAAATAATAATAATTATAATAATACACTTTTATAAAAACATTTATGTTTGGTCATCTTAATAATATAAACATTTCATGGTAGGTACATTTAGAAACTTTATTGTATTATATGTGTATAAATATAATGAAGTCTAAAAACATCATCTTGATTGTACTAAAATAAATATACTTTTATTATTTTATTATTTAAGCATTAAATGGTGATAATATTACTGCTGATCGTTACATATATGTTGCATTGAATGGAGTTGTCGAAGGCTTAGCATACTTATCAACTATTCCATTATTACTTTATGTTGGACGCAAAATAGCAGTTTCCGGTTTATTTTTTGCATCCGGAATATTGCAGCTTGCATTGTTAACAATACCAAAAGGTACATATTATTATATTATAAAAGATAAATGTACACTTTTTTTTAAATTCTTATACTAATAAACTATTGTTTTTTTTTTTTTTTTAGAAAGTGCAAATTTTTTATTATTTGTTGCTCTGCTTGGAAAATTTTGTGTGAGTGCAGTATTTTCAGTTAGTTTGCTTTATATATCAGAGTTATATCCAACTACAATAAGAAATACCGGCCTTGGAACATCGTTGACTATTTCTCAAATAGGATCTGTTATTGCACCATATGTAGTTGAATTATTGGTAATAAGTAATAACTAATAACTAATAGATATAATGTTTGGTTTCTGTATTACCATGATTGATGTTGAAATTTACTGTTAATTTTATGTTATTTAGGGAGCTAAAGCTTGGTACATTCCAAGTACGGTGTGTGGAGTGCTAGGTATTTTCGTTTCAAGTTTGGTTCTAATGTTGCCTGAAACAAAGGGAACAGTATTACCAGATACTCTAGAAGATATGAAAATTACTAGTTCTGTTAAAGTTACCAATTGTTGTAAGTTTTAGTGATTTTCACCATTATGTTACTTTTATAAATTATTCTTCTGACAATATTGACTGGTTGATTACAATTATTATTTTGACAGTATAATATCCTATACTGTTGTTTTATTGGGGAATCACAGTTAAATGGGTTAAGAATTGATGAGTTATATAAGTATATAATTATTAAGAAAAATACAAATTTAATAAATTCAATGTGTAAATGTTTAAACACAATGTTTAAAGTAATTTTGTAAATGATCTCAGTACCACAGATTATTTTTACCAAATTAAATTAAAGAAATTATTCTAATTAAGGTGTGATAGTTTATTTTTGTATCCCAATTTTAATCTTTTATTCATGTTATTGTTATTGTAAAAAGGTTTGAATTTCAACTGCGTTATTAAATTCCTATACATTTAGTAAAATTACATTATGGTGATTAATAGGTCTTGTATATAAAAATTGATTGTTGAATTCTTAGTTACAAATATTTCAGTAGAAATTCATATGTACTGTTTCATATTCATATAACCTTACCTGGCTGTATTATGCAATTATTTTTAATATAAAATAACTATTACCAACCAATATTTATGTATGTTTATTGTTATTATGATATGTGTCTTATTAAATTAATATATTTTTAGTTATTTGTAATGTCATGAACTGACCCCAGAAATAACTAATACGAGTATTTAAATGTTTAAATGTATACTTTGTTCTGTTAATTTATATTTTATAATGATTGTTTGTTTTATTTAATTTTAATTATACATTGTTAATTTAAAGTTGAACATTTATTTAACAAGTATTGTTCAACTCCTGTGAAATATGATGTAGAAGCAATATCTTTTTAAGTGTAAATGATATTATATTTTAATGTATAGCCATCTCGACCGGCGTTATCCCGTGAGATTCGCAGCAGTATATTATCAGGTAGGCAATGTATCTGCTGTAGATGACGGACACCGTACTGTTTGTGCCGGTGGAAGACATTAGCACCAAAATGAGTTTTTTTCCTGTACAGATGGCGCCACTATTGTATATGACATCCAGATTTCCTACTTTTCCGGTAGATTTTCCTAAAATTGTCTTTCATAAGAAACTTTTCCTGATAATTACGAACATAAAAAAATAGTTTTTGGCGCTAGAAATATTGGTGCCCTGAGCGAAACCATATTTTGGCTCCCTAATTCATAAAATTACACTTATCCGAGTTATTCATTAATCTTACAAGCTTGGAAGCATCGAATAGTGAACTACTTGAAAGTATGAATATGTTTAGAAAAATTGAAGATATTTTAACAAATATATTCCTGGCCCAGATGGAAAAAAATGAATGTCATGTCAGGTATAAAAAGATGTTAATATAGATATAACGCCGCCTACCTTATTGAATTGTTTTAAATAGGTATGCACAAAAACTAGCGTAAACGTAGAACGTAGTTTTTCTTTGTACAAATATATTTTAAGTAATAGAAGTCTTAATTTTAATGAACATAATTTGGAAATGTATCTAATTAAAAATTTTATTTCAAAAGAGTAACATTTATCTAATTTTTTATATAGCTTGAAATTTTATAGTGTAATTTATTATGCAATTTTTACGTATTTTTTGATACAATTTTAATATGCAATTTTGTGTGTTTTTAATGCAATTAAATCCGGTCTTTAATTATAGTATATAGTCACGATGGCCGTCGCTGCTGAAAGTATTATAAATTATAATATAGGTATATTATCTATTACGACTTGTACGACGAAAATAATATGATATTAGAATATTAAATGTATAGATTCTGCTAAAACGTGTTTAAGTGTTTTCATAACAATAAATATGCGAATGTGCGATTCATCACTTTATATCGACCGTTTCGGCATATTATATTAATTATTATATATCATTTTATCAGAGTAAATTCATTAACATAAAATATCAAATCAAATATAATACGTATTATTTCACGCCACCACTGCCTATAATATAGGAATAGGAATACTGTGTTTCACTAACTACTTATTTGTTAAGACAACCAGAGAACGGAATTCATTGTTAATAAGAAACCAAAATATATGAATATTACCGTTGGCTGTTAGGTAGGTACTTGTTAGTTTATACATTTGACATTACACAGCAGACCGTCCGTAGCGAGAGCTCGTCGAAATAACAATAAATATGTGTGTGTGTAGTGTACTAGTGTGTGCAGGCAATAAATTGTGTCTTTTTGATTTACGCCACACTGAGTTATTTTTGCCTTAAAAGGGGGCTGGAGCAACCATTTTTGTCCATAAATTTAACTCTATAAGCGAAAGAAAATTAAACATAGGTCCAGTGGCACGCGATTTCAATTTTGGAAAGTAAATTTTTAATTTAGTGTGTATTCCTCTTTTCTAAGTTTGCTCGGAAGTGGATACTTATATTTTTCATTTCATAGCTATATACAACTAAGTCAAGTCTAAGTTTATTTTGATAAAAATATAAACTTACTATGCATCATATATTCATATAATATTAACTAAAAATAAAGTCGTAAATCTATTTCCGAGCAAACCTAGAAAATAGACTAACTAATACGCTCATCTTTTCGAAATTAATATAAGTCGATCAAAACAAGGGGAATTTTTATTCCTCTTTTGGTGTAACTTTAAAACCAATTACCGTATAGGTAGGTACATGCAATTTTCACTGGTTGTTTAGATTTGAATTTTCAATACATTTTCAAAATATTTTCATTTATTTTGAACTGTTTAGGGACATTTTCAGTATCCAATTTTATTAGTTTTTCTTTCTATGAATGTCAATAAAACTTTATTTGTGGAGTAAAAATACTTGAAAATTACAAAGCTCCTTCTATATCGTTACATTGACATTTGAAAAATATTAAAAATCCTTAGTCACAGTTTTTTTTTTATATAAGCATTTAAAGTTCAAATCTTGAAACATGGAAAAATCACGAAAATTATCAAATTATTTTGAGTTAAGAATTTATACAATTTTTTCTTTTTAAATCTAAGATATGAAAATGTAATACAAGATTACTCATAAGTTTATCTACTTTTATCAAAAAAAAAAAAAAAAAAATGTCCTTAAGAAAGTCAAACTAAATTTTTATCAGCGTTTGAAATTCAAATTTTTACAACAATGAATATTCACTCGAATTCTCATGTAGTGATTTTCTTATTTTGCTATGATTCAAAAACGAATAACTGTAGATACATAAAAATTTCATTGAATGTTTATATTGGCATTTCCTATACACCATTTTGACTCTTTTTGAGCTGTTTACGGACATTTTCAGTTTTTAATTTTTTTAGTTTTTTTTTCTATAAATATCAATAAAGTTTTACCTGTTGGGCCAAAAAGTGTAAAAATTTAATACAAGGCTTCTGTTATAGTGTTACAATAACAGTTGAAAAATATTAAAAATATACAGGCACAATTTTTTTTTATAAGCATTTACTGATCGAATTTTGACAAAATTTATCAAAATCTCGAAAATTATCAATCATCGTAATTAATAAATTATATAATGTTCAACTTTTATATCTAAGGATTAAAAATTTAAAACAAGATTCCACGTATGTAGTTTATTCTGTTACCAAAATATCTAAAAAATACATAAGCTCAGTTTATTTTTATAGTCACTTTAAGTTCAAGTTTGGACGAAATTACATATTAAGAAACCTAGAATAAATATTTTTTTCTGATTGTATAATATTATTCGTGGGTACTTGAAACTTCTCAAGTATATACTACTATAAATCTATGATAGTATCACGGTTTGTTACTGATGTATAACGCGTTATAAGTACCTAATATATATTGTGATATGATTAATTTGGAATTTATTATAGGTCAATTTTTTTTAATACAATAGATATAATATGTCTTATACCTAGACTGACATACCGTCTCCGCTCAGAATCGTTTTTCTTATTCAATGATATTATATCATTGAATTCAAATTTAATACCACCCATTATACAGGGACCCACTTGTAACCTACTGCACAGCGCAGAGCACCTTTTTTTTTTATTCTTTTCTCTCCTCTGTCTTGTCGTAGTTGCTTTTTTGTTTTAATCCTTAGCACTGGTACCTACCTATCTATTTTTAAAATTCTTATACTAATAAACCCTTGTTTTTTTTTTAGAAAGTGCAAATTTTTTATTATTTGTTGATCTTGCTCTGCTTGGAAAATGTTGTGCAGTATTTTCAGTTAGTTTGCTTTATATATCAGAGTTATATTCTACTACAATAAGAAATACCGGCCTTGGTACATCATTGAATATTTCTCAAATAGGATCTTTTATTGCACCATATGTAGTTGAATTATTGGTAATAACTAGTAGATATAATGTTTATGGACTTTGGTTTCTGTATTACAATGATTGATGTTGAAATGTACTGTTAATTTTATGTTATTTAGGGAGCTAAAGCTTGGTACATTCCAAGTACGGTGTGTGGAGTGTTAGGTATTTTCGTTTCAAGTTTGGTTTTAATGTTGCCTGAAACAAAGGGACCAGTATTACCAGATACTCTAGAAGATATGAAAATTACTAGTTCTGTTAACGTTACCAATTGTTGTAATTTTTAGTGCTTTCACCATTATGTTATTTTTATATATTACTAGCTGATCCCGTGCGCACTTCGATCCCATTAAAAATATCAACTCTATATGAATAATATGTTTTATTTTATAATATAACGGTTACCATAACAACAGTTTTAAACCAATTATTATTATAATAGCTTCAAAACCTTTGGCAACCTTTTCTAAGCAAAAATTTCCATTGAAAATCACAAAGTCCCTGTTTGAGAGCACCTCCCGGGGTTGGTCCTCTCCATGGGCGTAACTAGGATTTAATAGCTACAGGGGCTAGAGTCCTAGAAAACCCAAGTCCAAGATAATTTGTGGGGGGCTTTGCCCCCCACACCCCCCCCCCCTCCAAGCATCCCTAGCATTTAGTAATCACAAGTCCTCTAAAATCAAAATTTAAAATAAACCATAGAATCAAAGTA